AGCCACAGACCGCCTGTCGTCGCCTCCTTTCTGGGAGCCACTGCAGCCCGATCCACAATGCCCGCCGGACCGTTCAGACTGCTCTTGACCCTCATTCGATCCCTGGATTCGACTCTGCGCCCCACTCGTGACTGCCAGACACACCACATCCGCATGTAGACCACCAGGTCTGGCCCGATGCGGCACAATGCGACACCACTGGCGACATATCGTGCGACAGGCACGCGACAGGCACGCGACAGCTCCGACGACAGGCACGCGACAGCTCCGACGACAGGCACGCGACAGCTCCGACGACAGGCTCGCGACAGCTCCGGCGACATATCGGCCTGTCTAGAGGAAGATCTGACATCGGAGAGCTTGTCCGACACCGAGACCCTCGCGGAGAGATTCTTAGAGGAGGTGCTGACAGCGTGTATCGCTCGTGACAACTGTCAATCGGGAGACAGAGATGTGCCGTCAGAGGACCACCGGGTCGAGTATATGGTGGATGACGGGACGGAGACGGGACGGAGACGGGACGGAGACGGGACGGAGACGCGACGGAGACGGGACGGAGACGGGACGGAGACGGGACGGAGATGGGGCGGAGACGGGCGGAGACGGGACGGAGACAGGGCGGAGATGAAATGGAGACAGGTGGAGACGAGAGAAGTTGAGATGGAAGCTACAGTAGCACGGTGGCGAGGAGCGTACGTTGGGCTTAGCCTTCCAAAGCGAACATAGCGCAACAAAGTAAACGGATTACGCTAAGAAACTGGTTGCCACGTGCTCGTAGGATCTCTAATTAAAATGCATTGCATCCAATGCTTTAATGTATTATGTCACATTCTTAACATCTTGCATCGCCTTAATCTGCATATACCAGGATACGAAGATTAGATGGCACATGACCTCATTGGGTTTATGCATTATACACAGTAATGACAAAAATAAATTAATGCAAATTATCCTACAGGGACAGGGTGGCCAAAAGATGAGTATAATATGTGTGTTGCATGAGCGATCATCATATAAAGTCCAATCTTATCGCGTCGCTAGCTCAGCGATGTTTCATACGATATGAGAGCTATCTCGTCCAGAAAATCAGTCGTTGTGTCTAAAAGTATAATTTTCTAACCATTTCCTAGATTCATATAGGTAAGGTGCTTAAAATCAATGTCGAGCATTGTGTTTTACAAATCGTAAAATTAGAAACAACGATAAGTCGCATTTCCCTTTTTCTTATTTGCATTTGAATCAATCAATTTTTTCAAACAAAAATATTATACCCACTTAAAAATAGTACCTGTGTCTCAAGTCAGGTTATTGATGTTGGCAGCAAGCTGTTTTCAGCATGTGAATGCGGATAACTGAAAATAAATGAAAGTAGTTAGATGAAAACATCACAGATAATTGTGTATGAATGCCACACAAAACCACAAACACGTACATAACATTTTTTACTTCCGTTGCATCCTGGTATGTATTTACAAGCAGTTGCAGCTTGGAGGCACATCTACAAATACCTGCAGATAATCCGAGCTGAGATCCTGAAACGGCAGCGCTGCTTAACAGGTGCCCTGAGTTGGATTATTTCAGCCTCTCGCTGCTATTTGCAGACATTGCATGGCTCGCAGTGATCTCTACAAGAGCACCTACACCTTTTTTGTACTTATCTACGCGCCTGGAGCCGCACTGAAACATAAAACTGGCCAGCTTAACCTGGTAATGCGAGCCGATGTTGTCACGCTGATGTAATATCACGGTGTTGTGGCCGGGATACCCTGGCTGACAGGGTTTGTGTTCAGATCTGGGACCGGGGCTCGCTATCTTATAGACCAGTGAACGATAAGGGCACTCCCCGTTCCACCTGTTTCCGTCTGGCCTGTGTATATGGGGAATCACGCTTATCATAGCTAAGGGGTGTGTCAGATGGTGCCTTAATCTTCGCCCCAGTGGGGGGGGGGGGCATATGTTACCACCCTGTCGCGTTTTTCGCGTGTGAATAAAAAACCGCGGCGCGTAGCGCCGCGCCGCTTAGGGTAGCTTTTGGTACATCAATTTTGGACAATGTGTGAAATTTTTGACCCCAGGTCATGTCAGGTCAGGTCACCAGGTCAAGTTAACTGACCAAGCCTTAAAAAAAGTTTGCAATCATGTCCAGCCTGCAGTGTTTGTCAGAAAGGTTTGAAACTTGGTGGATTGCATGCTGTTATGGGAGCCTACAATTTGTATATCTCGGATTTTTTTTATATCCGTGACCTAAGGTCAGGTCAGTGGCATGACCTTTCCATTACAAGTCAATGGAGAAAAATGAAAATGCCTCTAGATCCGTGTGTACGCATAGGAACAGTCCAACTATTTCAGAATCACAATGATTTAGTCCACTCGTGATGACCAAGGTGTCATTTTTGCTGATAGCCTCTAGGAAGGTCATCCGAGGTCATTTGAGGCTACAAACAGTTTTTTGCCAATAACTCGCGATTGGAAAGAGATAGAACGCTGGGGATGGTCTCATTGTGTTTGTCTTGTTGAGACGCATCGACTGATATGCAACATGACCTTTTCCGGTCAGGTCATGACCTTGACCTGAGGTCAAATTTTTAAGTTGACCTTTCAAGGTCAAATTATAGTTCATTCGACGCGTCTCGGTGAGGGGAACACGATTCTGGGAATAGAAATGTCGTGGCTTTTTGTAGTCGAAAGTTATTGGCGAAAAACACTTTTCGTAAAAACAGCTATTTTTGGAGTTTTTGCCCTCTGGAGGCTAAACCGTTGACCTGAGGACAATATTGATAATAACCTTTTCAAAAGAAGAGTTCAAAAGCTATCGATTGCTTTTCCATGCGCTTTTCTAGCTACCATAGTTCCTGAGATAGCGGCATGTTTTCTGAAAAATATAATGACAATTGGCAAATTTTGACCTTTGATGACCTCTGGTGACCCCAATATTGCTCTAAGGTGAAAAATGACCGAATTACTTTCAAACGTACGTATTGAGAGCTATCGACTGCTTTTTACCGCGTCTTTCTAGCCCTCTTAGTTTTTGAGTTATAGGTGGGTGGTAACATATGCCCCCCCTCACTAGGGCGAAGTTGGCCGAGACCGCCACTGGGGCGCGGGTTAAAGACGTGTGCCGGCTGAGATGGACGGCAGAGGAGTGGAACGGCATCCGCCTCAGACTTGAGATGGATTTCCAGATGCTCAATCGGGCCATCCTATCAGTCAGATAAATATTCGTCCCCTTCAAAATTTCAGATGGATTGTCAGATCCTCAGTCACGCTGGCTATATCAGACAGATAACCATTTGATCAGACAGTGCTACCAAATCATTTCTAGGACATTGTTTTAAAAGACAATCAGATCTGGAGACTGCAGTAATTCACATCTCAATTGCGCCGAAACTGGAGAGACTGCAGTTACTCACATGTCACTAGCACCAGGATTGGAGACTGCAGTTACTCACATGTCAATAACACCAGGATTGGAGACTGCAGTTACTCACATGTCACTAACACCAGTAGGTATCAGAGACTGCAGTTTCACATGTCACTAACAACAGTATTAGAGACTACAGTTACCCACATGTCACTAACACGGTATTAGAGACTGCAATTACTCACATGTCACTAACACCAGTATTATATAGAGACTGCCGTTAGGTACTTACATACTCACATGTCACGCCAGTATTAGAGACTGCAGTCACTCACAAGTCAGTCACTAACACCAGGATCGAAGACGTCAGATACTCACAAGTCACTAACACCGGGACTGGGGACCCCTATCACTCACAGGTCAATAACACCAGGATTGGAGACTGCAGTTACTCACAAGTCACTAACATCATGATTGGAGACTGCAGAAAATCACAGGTCAGTAGCACAAGAATAAGAGACTGCAATCATTCACATGTCAATAACACCAGGGTTGGAGACTACAATCACTCACAGGTCAATAACACCAGGACTTTGAAATTGAGACTGCACTTATTCACAGGCCCGGTTAGCGCCGAATTGTAGATCGACAACACATGGCGTAAAAGTCATTTTTATAAATCTTGTTTTGGTTTTAACAGGCAGATCACCGATAATTGGTTGCCGGGACAAACATTCTACAAACTTTTGATTTTTACCGCTGTAGGCTGGACCGTCTGAACCGAGAACCAAATGACATTGGTCGTGGCCAACGACCTGCCTGCACCTGTCAATGACGGCGTCATCACTCATCTACTAGGTACCGAATATTCCCGCCTCAGTCTCCCCAGCCCGTCCGAACTCCGCCAATCGGGAAGGTCACCTCTCGGGGGCACAACCTTGACCCCAGCTGGGCGCAGATCCGGGCAGCCCACGCTCCCATCCGTCCCACCCCTCCCCACCCCCACAGTACTTCGTGGCACGCGCGTCCGTCTCAGAAATGCTGAATTATGCGCCTCTGGTTTGTAAATGCCGCGCGCGTCCGTCGTGTCAGCCATTCCGGAGACAGGTTCCTCCATTTTTCAACACGAGATTGGAGTGTCTATTGGACGGACCACCCCTGAGAGGAGAGTGGGAGGGGGGTGCAGAGGGGGCACACGACTGCGCCATTCATCGAGGCCCGTGTGTCATGGTATGACGTGAATCGTGACATTACTGACGGATATGGTTTCCATCGATGAACCCAGCGATAGGGTTGATCGGATGGCATTACTAGGCATTAGGCATTAAGCATTTACCAATAGGCATATGCTTAAAATAGTAAATAGTAAATACAGATCTATATCTGCGGGATAATGTACGCATTCGACTTGTCGAGAAACCTGAAGTCATTGAAAATCGCTGGCTTAAAAAACACATGGAATTGCATAAAGTCATTTAAGTATTTTCATTTTTATTGTGATCAGCTGAGTAGCTGCTTGACAAAACGATAGCCGCAAAAATAGCAGTTGATTAGTGCTGATCCTGTATTAAGGCTTTTTATTTGCTAGTCGTATCTCTTTTTTACATTAATGACGCAGGAGAGACGAGACTGATGTAAACAAATTTTTTATTTGCGCGGACAATCGGAAATCTTCGAGTTTTTGTTGTATTTACGCAAGTATAGTAAATTGGAAGTTATCTGATGTGATCCCATTAATTTTCAAAGGGGGAACTTGCCCTGTAATTTTGAAAAATTGGAAGTGGTATACCTTTACTCGTACTGAAATGTAATCCTAGGGCCTGTTCCAGCGCCTCCAGAAACCTCCAGAAAGCTCCAGAAAGCTCTAGAATCCTCCAGAGAGCGTTCCAGCGCCTCCAGAAAGCTCCAGAAAGCTCTCGCCAAAGCTCCAGAAACCTCCAGTAGCCTCCAGAGAGTTGAGAGGTCCAAATTTCTCTGGAGGCTCTGGTCTACAATTATGGTGCACATGTGACAATCACGAATGTAAACAAAGGACATTTAACTGATTATTTTACAACTTGAATGTAAAGAAAATTACATTGTTATAATTTTATTTATCTTTTTAACTAAAATTGAAAACAAATTTTGCGTTTCAAGAGAGAACAATCGTCATTCTTTTGGTATCTATGACGCCAATCTCCAGAAATCTCCAGATTGCGTTCCAGCGCCTCCAGTAAAACCTCTGGTAGAGCCTCCAGTCAAGAATTTCTTCTGGAGGCGCTGGAACAGGCCCCTAAAGTGACTAACGTTTGTCAAGACTGAGGCTGAGGCGGAGGTGCTGAGGCAAGTCGCCTGAGGGTAGTTAGGCGGCATTGGCTAAGTTTTGAGAGGAATCAAAAGGTAATTGGAGTATTTGTTTGCTCCTTCAGATAAAATACATTATTATTTTACTTGACACGTAACTCTAATCATTTAAGCTTTGTTGCTGCATTCCAATTTCATCAAAAGCGGATTTTAAGACATTTTAAGCCATTATGTTATCACACGTTCTTAATGTGTGCACTTGTGTGCTATTTTGTCTCACTTAAATATTCAGTCATTAAGGCAGTGCCCCTTCATTGCAGGCAATTGTTTTGGATTTCGTATTTTTCGGTTCAGAGATCAAGATGGATCCAAAGCAATACATGACAATATCGATGGGGATAGGAGCATCCCTTGGGATTGCCACCCTCATTCTGATGTATAAGGTAAGCAGTAATATTTCCTAACAACTAAACCTTTATTGTGTTCTACCTCCATTATTTTTTTTAGTATTTTGCACGTGAAAGTATCTGTTCCTAGTTCTAGGTTGAGTGAATAAAATCATTTCTTGGTTCTCATGTCATTGCTACGTATCATTTAAAAACAATTCATACAATTTTTAACTACGTCTGTTATGCCTAAACTTTTCACATTTTACGCCCCAAACCTTAATCATTGAGATATGTACCTATAGTAATAAGTTTACCAAAACTCCTCACACTGCAGTGTCCCCTGATCTCCACCCTCCCCTTCTCTCAGGTGGAGTGGCTGTGCATACCAGCAGTAACTCCCCACTCTGCAGTGCCCTTATAACCCTCCCTCTGCCGCAGGTGGAGCGGCTCTACCGGCTCTGTCTCCAACTGCAGGCCTCCGTCTCGGAGCTGCACGTCCTCGTGGAGGAGTCGCAGGCGATCGCCGGCGGCCGGCAGACCGGCGAGCTGAAGAAGGCCGTCAGCCGTCTGACTTCCACTACCACGGGCTCGTTCTACGACCCCGACTCGGACCCGTCCGCCGACATGTGGTCGGCCTCCTCCGAGAAGAAGTTCTACGAGAAGGTGGACCAGTGTATCGACGAGCACCCGCTGCAGGCCGTCCAGGCGCTGGAGCAGCGCAAGGCCGAGGTGGGCACTGGGAGCGGCTCCGGGGAGAGCGAGGGAGGGCAGAGTGTGGCCGGGGAGAGCAGGGGGAGCAGCAGCGAGAGCTGGGCAGACGCCGAGCCGCCGGCGGCGTCGGCCGGGTGACGGAGAGGGAGAGGACGAGCCTCCTCAGAGCGGTAGACAGAGGGGAGAGCTTCTCGCAGCGACAGGGTTATAGGTAGAGCAGGGCCGCTTGGGTTTCATCTCCAGTCAGTCACTGGGAAGGTTACGTATAGTGTCCACGTGTGTCTGGTGTAACTGAGAAACTAGCCTGATGTCATACTTTGTCGTTGGATGGTGTTTTGTTTTGGTAGTAGCCAGCACTCGGGCCAGGGCCAGTTTGAAAAGCAGTTAGATGTAATCAGTCACTGCCTGTCCCGTGTCGAATTTACTTTGGTATAGTTGCAACGAAGATGTGTAACGCTCTTCACAGCAGAGCTAACCTGACTGTTGTGCGGTTTGTAAAACCAAGTTCAAACATGTGTTCAATCATGGTGTGCATGTCAAATGTGTTACGACTCCCAGTCACATATAGAAATTTGGTGTGTTTAGTACAGAAGTGCGTAGTGTGAATAGGCGTTAGCTTATCCCTTCTCTATCTATCTATCAATAATAAACATTTTAGGTGAACAGGCGTTAGTCATGCGGTATAGAACACATTCGTTTCATAGTTGAAAACTACAATGCCGAACACATTGCAATTAAGACATTCCCTGACTCATGGCCTATGCATGATTGCCTACGTGATCATTTGGCCTCTGTTTATAGGCCTTCTTGATTGAAGTTTTTTTTTTGTCGTGTAGTGCAGCTGTGTGGTTTATATAATAGTCGAGTAGAAAAAATAAAAGATATTTATGTGTGTTATAATGGCTTTGTCTTTTATGACGCTTTTAAGAGAAAGGTGGCGATTAAAAGCGCATTCAAAAGATCACGTCCAACTAACGGCTTCTGACAGGATCTCTTTGTAGAAACAGGTCGGTAAAAATTTAGTTTCTGAGGTCTTGCGGCAGAAACGATTTGCTTTTCCAAAGCACCCTGATACAGCAAACACACTTGTCGGCAATTTCTTAGAATTTGTACGTGAAACGAAAGAAACTTTCGCGTTTGGCTGATATTGTTTCATTGCTGAATTTCCTGTTTGATGAAAAAAGACACGCGTCGAACTAAGCACAGAGCTTCCGCTACCCTCTGACAGCGTAACCGTTCCGTTTTGTGTTCGTCTACCGATATTACCGTCCCCTTGCTCGTTCATCTGTATATCTTATTCCGTTCTCTCGTTTGCCTCTCGATGTTATCCGCCCACCGTTCGTATGCCGTTGTTACCGTTTAGTTCTCCCGCTTATCTGTCGATGTTGCCGTTCTGTACCTCGTCCTTCTGTCATTGTTGCCGTCCCATCATTTGCTTGTTCGCCTGTGCCGTGGCCCCCATTCCATTCCCTTTCTGACCCCTCGACTGTCATTCCCAGTTCCAGAACCGTGCCGGCTGGCTGTGGAGGATGGCCAAGGGACACCGATTGGTGGCCCTGCAGACCAAGGACGCCGATAAACGCAAGGCAGAGCTCTACAAAGGTAACTGGAGAGACTTATCACGCACTGACGTCATGTTGACGCCGAACATATGCCACGTATGAACATATTTTGTTGACGACTCAGCCAAACCCATCGTGTATGGAGCGTTTTCATCTAAAAACGGAATTCTTTCCCGCACTTTTCCATCTCATTCATGAGTTGCAGTCATTTCTAGACTCATCAGGCAAGTGTGATACAATTCGACTACTTTTATCGCCATTTTGAGTTGCTATCGTTTCAGCGCATTATTAGCCATAGGGCTATGTTAAGCACTTCTATCGCTGCCCCAGGGTCTGACCCATGCCTGCCCCGTTTTTCCGCAGCTATTGCGTTCGCCGAACGTGCCCTGGCCAAGAAGCCGAGTGCCGAGGCCCATAAGTGGTATGGCGTCTCGGTGGGAGCGAGGTCAGAGTTTGGCACCGTCCAGGAGAAAATCAAGGACGGTTTCACGTTTAAAGAACACATCGACAAGGCGGTCAAACTGAACCCCAAGGACCCGGTACTGCACCACCTGCTCGGAAGGTTCAACTATGAGGTCAGTGTGAGGCAGTTCGGAGTTGCATGTCGAGACAATGTGCAATCTACGATCTTCACTATTGTCATCATTGAGCGTCTACATCCAGCCCAAATCAATGGCCTGTCGCTGGCTCCCTGTTCAGAGGTCTCATCCCTGCCTAATGTCGCCCTCCCCTGCCGCTAGATGTCAGCCCCTTCGCCAGGTCCGCTAGATGTCAGCCCCTCCGCTACCTCCCGCTCTCGCCGATAGGTGTCGGGCCTGTCGTGGATCGAGCGGCGGGCTGCAGCGGCGCTGTTCGGCTCCGTGCCTCAGTCCACCACAGAGGAGGCTCTCCAGTGTCTCCTGAAGGCCGAGGAGCTGTCCAAGAAACCCTGGCTGGAGAACCGATACATTATCGCGCGGTAAGTCGGGCTCTCGAGTTGGCATGGGTGTTCAATGTACCGAGGCATGCATCGAAGTCCTTGGAAACGTGAATGTGCCAGGTGCGGTTGAGAGTGCTATGCGTGGCAGTCGTTTTTCTCTGCCTGCTTACAAAGTCTGTACGATGACGTTATAGCCACACTCTATGGTAATAACTCCCCGCTTCATCCACAGGTGCTACATCGACGATAAAAAGTACAAAGACGCCATCAAGTGGATTGACAAGGCGGTGAAATGCGCCGTGACTTCAGAACTGGTGAGTGAACGTAGCATCTCCACCCTGTCAAAGTCGACGATCATTGGGCTCAGTTTGGAAATGGATTACGTTTCTGTCCTGCACTGGATGTGGGCGAGCTGGCAACTGAATGTGTAGGTCAGTTTAACATGTACGCAACCTGCCGTGTCTGAATCAACGACGGGCTTTTTCCAGTGTCCATCACTTTTTAGCTATCATGCATCAGGTTCAGGGGTACTATTATTTTCTTTTTTCAGGACGATGCAATAATCAAGGAAGTGAAGACGCTACAGGCCAAGTACGGCTCATACCGAGCATGATTCCCATCTGCTCGCCTTAGTTCACCCACTGCTGTCAGCGAACTCCTAGGTATCGGGGGAGCAGCGCTCCGGTTCTGCCTTGGCGTGGTGATGTTCAGCCATCAGGACCACGAGAGGTTAGTTAGGTGGAGAGGAGCAGGGCCTAGCGGATGCCGAACGAACACGAAGGTACCGTACGCTAGTGGTTGAGCACGGCTGGGCAGGTCGCTCAACATTGGTAGAAATATTGTTATGGCTGCTTCTACACTGCCTTGAGGTCACCGATGACAATATGAGGGTTTATTGGATGAAAAATTAGGTATATTCGAGCTTCATAGAATGTAGACTTTTTAATGTTTGTGCTTCAATCCGAATCTAGACCCGATTTCGCAAAGGTCTGAGTGATACGTGATATGCCATTATTCCAGTGTTATTCCAGTGATATTTGTTGCAGTTTTGTGTACGCCGCCACTGCTTCGTCATTAACTGTTCAGGTCTAGTGCATACATCATTATATAGTCACAACGAACAATATTTTCGAAATGAAAACGTAACAGAAACTCAGCTTTTTTATCGATGGCGATTGGCGAATAGTTTTTTTTTTCGCGGACCAAGAGCTGTCAAAGAAAAACTCGCCCCGTCACGTGTGAATGACACACTACAGGGTATAAGCAACCCTTAATTCTCCCACCATTCTTAGCTTTCAGCGAAGATTCAAATCCTGCTAGGCTGTTGAAGCATTCTTTCACAGGCGTGTCTTCAACTCTCCTGTGTCAAATCACCAACCCGACAACCATCGACCAGACGCGCCGCATCGACCACATGAACTGTATTCGCCATTAAGAACATCGCTTATGTACACATCTGGGAGTGGGATCGACACGGCCGAACGCCGGCCAACGGCTACTCAGAATCTCATTCGCACCGGACGTCGTACAATCAAGGTTCAGCCTATTCTCCCCCAGGGTTGTCCCCCCTCCCCGCACGCACTTTGAGCCCGCTCCCCCTCAGGACACATTCCCCCTTCAGACACCGTGGCAGCCCCTTAGAAGACACACATTCACGTTCGCAGACATGAGAACGGCGGCGGCCCTGTGTTCCGCATACGCGGCCGCCGACAGAGCTGAAAACACGGCGAGAATCGGTCACACCACGACAGAAACTGGGGGATTTTCTGACAGCATGGTGCACCGTATTATTTTTAGAAAAAAGGCAATCCGAGGTCGGGACGGTATTCAGCTTACTTGGTACAGGGTTTGTTTGATTACATTAAATTTAGCGAATACAACGAACATTTGTTGAACGATTGCCCTCACTCGCTCACACAAGTTCGGTACATTTATTTTGAAGTGATGGATAATCCAAACACAGTCGTGGTGTGGCCCGTTCTGGCGCTAGTTTTCATCTCTGCACCCCCAGGCCGACTAGTTGGCTCTACATCTTAGCGCGGCGACACTAATGTATATGTATACTGGAAAACATCGGCGTACAAAACGCGACCCTCGAACGGCCCTTCGAGCCGCGCTCCAAGGAAAGCGCGGGGCGGGGCCGGGCGGCCAATCACAGCCGTCCTGAGAGCGCTCGCCGCACCCGATTGGCCGAGAGCCAGCCGGTGGGCGGCGCCTAAGGACGGGAACCAAGGAGAACTTCTCGACAATGCCGTACACAAAATGAAAAAGGTGAACGATAAAACACAGATCTAAACGAGGCAGCGGCGGCGGCTGAGGCCGCCCCCCATACTGCTGGAGAACGCCTCATCAGGGCGGCGGTGACGTCACCTCACATATGACGTCACCTAGACAACTGTCTGACGTCATGGTCACTCTTAGTCTTGTCGGGCTTCCTCACATCACTGCCCGCTGGGTTAACGTCAGTTGGTCGGTGTGACGTCATCACACGTCTTGTGAGGTCACTGTATCTGGGCTATATGACGTGTCTCACGACGGTCGGCTGGAGACGTCACTCTGACGTCATCTAGACGGCCGAGTCTTTGGCAGCATCCAGCTGCGCCTTGTCAATTTTCAGAGGCTCCTCCTCGCTGGCGTCACCGGCCCCGCTGAAACACCGACAAAGGGTGTTACCATACAGCTGTTACACCAACACAGGGAGTACTACTACACATACTACACAGTCACAGAGGCAGCTACGCCGTCAGATGGTGTCAGACGTCACGGAGAGTGCCACACAGTCACCATTGGTGTAACACCGACACAGCGTGTTACCATACAGCAGCTTACACCCATACAGGGAGTATTACTTCACAGTCAGAGCTACACCACTAGATGGTGTCAGACGTCACGGAGAGTGCCACACAGTCACCATTGGTGTAACACCGACACAGGGTGTTACTATACAATAATAGGGGGTGTTACATCGAAAGAAGGTGTCAGACCAGTCGTACAGGATGTAACACCGGCACAGGGGGTGTTACAACACAGTCATAGAAGGTTTTAACACCGACAAGGGGTGTTACGGCAGTCACAGAGGCTCAGACATATAATGTCAGAGAGCCGCAGAGGGCTAACAACATGCGTAAGGATAGTCACAGGGGGCATTAGCTCGGCACAGAGTCAGGTAGGTACAGCACGACACGGGAACGTATTTTCGTTCGTGTGAAAGTACACGGAATGAAGCAACGAAAACAAAGGGAGCGCGTTCTTCCCACATAATACTGCATGGAGTTGCATCTACTTCTAGGAAGCGTTTCGTGCTTTACCCCGCGTTCGATGTCTCTCGGACGGCGAAGATTCTATGCCGTCCGGCCAATCACGTTCCATAACTGCAGCCGAGCCCCCGCTGACCTTGGACGGGATTGGCCGGACGACGTAGAATCTTCGTCGGCCGAGAGACATCGAACGCGGGGTTAGTTAGTGCGTTTGGTGGTGATGGGGAGCGAGAGATGTCACAGATTACTTCCATGGCACGATTGGCGACGCGTATTGTGTACGAACCACGATCGATCACAGCAAGTGAGGAGCGACATTCGTAGACAGCGCACGGCTTTTTACATTTCTGTGCAAGCTAAAACGCCAGACAAGTGCTAGTGGGTAGGTGAGCGGAAGATGACAGTTCATTCTCATTTGTGGTGAAGTGTGATGGAATGGGGCTACACAATTGAGTAACGGGCGGAAGCAGTTAAAATAAAAATAAACTGCGTAATTTTCTTTCAGCTTACTACATCACTATAAAGCCGGTCACTAGGATACAAGTGAAATATCAAATATCAATTCAAGCATCTCCAGCATCTGTGAAAGGCACTACGGTACAAAACGAACATAGGGTCTATCGTGGTTTCTGCTACGGCCTTTGATAATCGGTGAAACTGAGGTGAAAAGACGGATAAGCCTTTACGATAGCCGGGTATAATATGTCCAACATAACACAACCGCGCTGCACCACGTAAACCTTAGGAGAAATGCAGGTGATAAAGGAAATAAAGTGCAGTCGCAGGCTGAGAAAGATGGCGCCGCTTCGTCGCATGCCGGTTCAGTGGCGCCACCTATAATGCTAAAACTTACCAGTGGCGCCGTCTACACACTGGTCTGCTTCGGCAGCCGTATCACCCTGCCCGGAGGCGACACAGGCAGCAGAGAACGAGAGAGCGAAGATAAAGTGAGAGAAGAAAGAGAGAAGGGCGACAGATAGCGCCGCGAGACACCACGACACAAAATTTCAATCGCAACACTCGACGTTCCTGTATCCTTCACATCTCAGCAGACTAGGTCGGGGATGGGTGGAATGGGGCTGTGATGGGGGACCGTGGACCCAGCACCGGCACCAGGCCCTCCCTCCACCTCTCCGGGGTTCGGACAGCACACAGCCCAGCCACCTACCGTTCACCGTTGGCCTCTGGCGGCGGCGGAGAGCTCTTGTTGCCGTTACCGTTCTCCTGGAGAGGCTCCTTCTCACTGAAACGAGCGAGCGGCGACCGTGAAACGACGAGCAGCCACGTGGTGGACGTTGCTCACCCACATGCTGATCTAATTGTTATTCGCCTAAGTGTAGTATACACCAGACTAAATGTTAAAGAAACGATATCATTGATAAATAAGTCAACCACTCTATAAAGAAGCTTCTTGTGTCTGATTCATACTCAATAACTAATTTGTAACAATCACACCGATTCGTTGCTTTTATCATATCTCTTTATCCACACAAAGAAACAAAGACCCCTATAACCTAAGGACCGTCTCCAAACCCAGCCCATCAGCTCACCTGGCGGCCTCCTCCGTGAGTTTGGCGACGTCGGATGAGCCGCGCGCACGCGAGCACAGCATGTGCGTGATGCCGCGCTTATTGACGGCGTAGCAGGTCAGGTCACAGAGTATGACCAGCGCGAGGAGTACGGCGATGACGACGCCGACCACCAGACTGGAGGAGCGACTCACCGGCGCCGCCGCCGCCTCCTGGGCCACACCTGCGCGAGACACGGGGATACGGAGAGGGTTAGATGGGAGACGGAGACGGGAGACGGGAGTTGTAGGACGAGAGACGAGACGAGACAACGTAATACTCGTCAGACGAGACGGCATCTCGTCATGGTGCAGCCAGAGAGGCACTTGCTCTAGAAACGAAGTCGACAAAAGCATATCTTTGTTATTTGAGCTGTTTGAATGATTTGAGCCACTTTGTAACATTTGGGGTGGAGACTTCCACTGGCGTCCAACTGGCGTCTAACTGAGCAGACGTCCAAGTTGGCGTCTAACTTGGCGTCTAACTGTTGGACGGAGACTTCCAAGCCAGACGCGTCTTAAGTTAGCAGTCGCCAGATAGACGTCGCCGCCGTCCAGCTAGACGCGTCTAAGACTTAGACGCGTCTAGCTAGACGCGAAATGGAAGTCTCCACCCTTGATAACGCAAAGTTCATGCATTATACATCTCAGGCTTTCGCTGACTGCTTTTAAACATGCAGTAAATTATTTACATGAGCGGGTTTGAAAATAAACATTTGATATTTGCTTCAATCTGTGACGGTGACTTCAAGCGGAGCTCAACACACCTTCCAAATAACAACTCGTCAGGACTTTCTCGGAGTGGTAGTGGGGTCTTCAGAAAGACTCACAAACAAGGTGTGGTGATGACACACGGAAATGCAAACTTGAAAACACTGTAGCTTAGTTTCATGAGCGTCTATGCGCCTCGCTAGAATATACTGCAGAAAATAACTAACATGAAGGGCCGAAGGCGCAAAAAGCTACCATCATTGATCAGTTACGTGCATGGCGTCGAAGGGAAACTGCACCACGGTACAGTGCGCATGGGAAGTAGATGAACAAGTTTAACTTCAAACACACAGCGGAGAAGCGACAACATTAAATCACACCTTTCGCGCTCAATGCGTAAACAATACGATAAGTAAAACGCAACAATAAGAAGTTCTTGATGCCTGGCGAAGTCGAATATTCAGCGGAATTAAACCATGTTTTAAGTACCTACGTTCATATTTTCGACTCGCGTCGCGACGCCTTAAATCTAAGTAAACTAAGGCTGCTGTGCTACCTAAATCGGTAATCAAACACACCAATACGAACTACAAACGTGCTTCAAACTACATCA